CTTTCCTGCCTATGCAGGGGGTCAGACTCGATGATCTATTGAGGTCCCTTCCGACCCTAACATCTAAGAATCTATGAATCTCATAATCTCATAAATATAATAACTTATTATTTGATCAGTTTCTATACTTTATAAAAGGTCTCTAGCCTTAGATATAAACCTCTTCCAAACACTAGCCCTAAATATAACTTGCCCATTGTATCCCCTACAAATTATTCTTTTACCATATGTGAAGATCAGTCACAAAGAGACCGCTTTTTATAAAGGAAGTATATACACTACGATTAAAGAGTGTAAACGGGTATCTTGCATAGACCAGAAGTGTCAAACTCACCCTTTCTTATGGGATGCATCTGGACATGGAGGTGGGGGGAGAAGCGGTGGCAGCAACAGAGGTTAATGTAGCCATCTCTTATCCCCCACCACCAACTCACATCCCCAAGGGGGTTCTGTGCCCTGGATCCCAATGCCAGTCCCCCGCTGCCTGCTCACTCCACTCTTGAATTCCCATCCCCTCCGAGAGCTCCACAGGTCAGACAACACAGCTTTGCGAACTAGATCCAGCTGGATTTGATACCTCTAGGCTGGACAACGGTACATAACCCTGATCTTACTTAGGCCCCCTCTACACATTGCGCAATTACCTTCAGACCAGCTACACATGCAAAGTAGCTATCACATTATAAAAACCTCCAACCAGCTATAAAGTTAAGACCTCTACATACCTTTACCTGCATGTGTAGAAGAGGCCTTATTAAAGAAGTAGTCACTTTAATACCAAGGCAAATATTTCTATGCCCAAAAAGAAATATTTACCACACTGACGTCTGGACTGTCAGACACCTGTATGCTTTTTACATTGTAGACCCAGTTCCAAGCTGTTGACAACAGAAGAGCTTTACATTCTTAAAATTCATTGGGAAGAAGGTCTTTAAAGAGAGGAGTTGCAAACTGAATTTGTGGCAGTGCTTTTCTAAATCAGTAGCGGCCAAACTTTTTGGCAGGTGTGCCACAAATCAGCCATGCACCTTCCCTTAGTGCCACTGATCCCTTCCCCTTCCCCAATCTGCTGCTCTACTGTTTCTTGCCTATCTGCCACTGTGCTGTTTGTCTGCTTCTGCATGCTATACACAGAGGCTGCCTGTGCCACTCATGGCTACCCTTGTTCTAAATACCCATAGAAGCCCCATCACACCATGACTGTCGGCTTGCAGATTCTCTCAAGGGCTCTAGATCAGCACCACAATTAACAGTCCTCCCACAAGCATGGAAAGCCAATTTGCACTCAAAATGCTCATCTTACTAAAGTAGGTTCTCTCTTTCAGCGCAGCCCAAGCGTCAAAGTTTGGTGTGTTGGAATGGGTGCACTGAAAGGCCTAGACAGAAAGGAAACAGTTATCACCAGTATCCTAACATCAGCCAACACTAGTCAAGATATCCGAGATCAGCCAGAAACAATGTAGTTTGGAGATTTAAAGCTATTAAAGTCCACTAGTAACTAGAAGAGAAGTCTACTTTCCCCTGAGTTTCTATGTAATATACATTAATATTAAATATACCACAGGCATTGAGCATATATAGAGGAAGACAAAATCTCTTCCCCCAAAAGCTTGCAATCTATAATGTTACAGGCAAAATGCATTTGATTCATCTACCTAAAAAAGGAGAAAGCTCGTGTTTTCAAATACCATTCATCCAATTACACTAGATGGAAATTTGGCAAAGCAAACTTTAAGAAGCGCAAGTTTATAGTAGATTATAGTAGTATAGCGAGCAAAATGCTGGCTTGCATCCATAGATGCTTCTCAAGCAAATCCCAGGACATCATTCTGGAGTACCGTGTCCAGTTTTGGGCTCCACAATTCAAAAAGGATGTGGAGAAGCTTGAGAGGGTGCAGAGGAGAGCCACGCACGTGATCAGAGGTCAGGAAAACAGACCTTATGATGAGAGGTTGAGCGCCATGGGACTCTTCAGCCTGGAAAAGCGCAGGCTCAGGGGTGATCTGGTGGCCACCTATAAGTTTATCGGGGTGCTCATCAGGATCTGGGGGAACGTCTGTTCACCAGAGCGCCCCAAGGGATGACAAGATTGAACGGTCACAAACTCCGCCGCGACCGATTCAGGCTGAACATAAGAAAGCACTTCTTTACTGTCCGAGCCCCCAAGATTTGGAATAGACTGCTGCTGGAGGCGGGTTCAGTGCCCACTTTGTATGACTTCTAGACACATTTGAATGCTTATCTTGCTGGGATCCTATGATCCCTGCTGACTTCCTGCCCCTGGGGCAGGGAACTGGACTCAATGATCCTCCGGGGTCCCTTCCAGCCCAAATGTCTATGAAATCTGTGAAATCTATGAAATTAGTATCACACAATTGGCTGCATACTAAAAAGAAAGACAGGGATAACTGCAAACTGGTTTACCAACAAGGTTTATACAGGAAACCCTCGCTATTCGTGGGTTCAGCATTCGTGGTTTCAAATATTCACAAATGCCGAACGCACATCTTAAATACACTTACAGAAGCTCTTCGGAAGCTCCGCACTTGCCACCACAGGCTCCCGCCATTGCAGCCATGCCCCACCCCAGCTGCCGGAGGCACTGTGTTCATGAACGCGACGACGTTCATGAACACAGTGCTGTATTTGCGGATTTCGCCATTCACAGTGATCTCCAGAACATATCCCCTACGAATGGCAAGGGTTGCCTATACCATAACAATAAAATTAAAAGGTAGCATTTTTGTTAATTGTATGTATTACCTAGATGAGAACTGTTAGGCCAAAGATCATGTGCAAAAGT